AGGAACGACGGCATCTTGGGCCTCCTCACTCTTCTTTACGACGCGAAAGAGGTGCAACCGCTGCCGTCTGCGGACCTGACTACATCACGAAGGGAGGAGGGGGGGGGGAGGGAGAAAGTCTCGACGCGGGCACTGCCTTCAAGCATAAAGCCATTTCAAGAATACTATACAGGCTTCTTCCCTATTTTTCGGGACCACACCAGGTTTTAACAGAAGGTCATAGGTCAGATTATTCATTTATACAAATGTAGTTTCAGATTCAGTTATGACTGTTTTACGTTGCTCTCCGTCGCTCGCGGCCCGCTTTTCATATCAGTACAACCTCTATTCCTTCTCCTCTCTTACTCATCAGTTTTTTCCTTTCTCTTTTGGTATCATATCCCACACTCCATCTTAGACCATACCTCCTAGAATAAGGACTAGTGCTGGTGGAGTAATGCAAGTAAAAAATGGCAGGTTGAACGACTAGGTCAACTTGTGACCACTTCCCAGTGCTAGTCGTTTAACATGAAAGCACAGGGAGTGCCAACCCTGCGACAGCAGCCCTGTCGAACCTTTCGTTAGACTCCTCTCTGCATATGGGCCTGACCGCTCTCTGCTTAGATACTAGGTCAGATAAGGCATCAAAAGAAAAACAACGCTGGCAACTACTAGAACAATATCCAACTCTTCCAAGAAAGGAGAAAGGCTAGCATTTTCCTAGAAGTCATTCCTACATGTTGTAATCTATGTTCACCGCAAGCGAGACAGAATGCTACTGCTACAACTAGCGTCTATCCCTTTGTATGTATTGATTCTTAATCCTGTCCTGTCCTGTGAAATCAGGCTATTGCTAGTGTCACTACTACTACAAATTCTACATGTTACCACGAGTATTACCTTGAATGCTGTTTCCGAAGTCTTTCAATGTGTAACTGCTAGCCTTTCTTCTTTCTTGGAAGAGTTGGAATATTGTTCTAGTAGTTGCCAGCGTTGTTTTGTCTTTTGATGCCTTATCTGACCTAGTATCTAAGCAGAGAGCGGTCAGGCCCATATGCAGAGAGGAGTCTAACGAAAGGTTCGACAAGGCTGCTGTCACAAGTTGACCTAGTCGTTCAACCTGCCATTTTTGACTTGCATTACCCCACCAGAGCCAATCCTTATTCTAAGGGGTATGGTCTAATATGGAGTGTGGGATATGTAATGATCCCAGAAAGGAAAAAAGTTATAGTGAGAGGGTAGAAGGAAAAGAGGCTGTACTGATATGAAAAGCGGGCCACGAGTAACGGAGAGCAACGTAAAACAAGGATAACTGAACAAATATTACATTTCTATAAATGAATAATCTGACCTATGACCTATCTGTGAAAACCTGATGTGGTCCCGAAAAATAGGGAAAAAGCCTATATAGTATTCTTAAAGTGGTTTTATGCGAGACGGCAGGCAAAAATAATTGTTAAGGTTGTGGTCAGGAACATTGATCACCCACATATTTTTTTTTGAAAATGAAGGATACACATCTTTCCTTCTGTTAACATAGGTGCACCTTGAGAAAAATTTGAAAGGTAAACTGAGCAATTTCAGTTTTCTCGATAGGGGAGAGCGATAGCATCGTTGAGCGTACGGGGTTGAGAAAGGCCCACGGTGATTATTCACGCAGTTTTGCGACCGATTACCCCTTTTATGTACTTGAGCTCTGTTTTGTTCATATACGAACACAAGAAAACCAAGACTGCGAATTGCGAAATTTGCCGACCATGAGCCCAACCCTTGCTGAGAATACAAGAGGTTCACCGTGTTAATCGCTAGAAGGATCCGTTCGCAAGGGAGATCGTACAGTTCAAAATGTTAGGGGGACAGTCGCTCCTCCTGAAACACGTGAGACAATCAACACCACATTTGCCTTTTCATTTGCATTTGCATTCTCCATTTCAGTGGTCCCTTCAGTAGCACGCCTCATTCAGCGAGTGATAAGGTTACGCGCTATTCGCAGGCTGCGAATGCAAATCGCAGACTCTAAAAGGATAGGTTCCTTGGGTTCTAAACTTTTTGGATTCCCCACAGCCGCTCAGCGCAAATGGACCTCTGTACCAATGTTCGTGAGTGTCCACCTGTATCATGCAAAAGACCGCCTCGAAAAAGCCTACCATGCCCTGGACTCCAATAATTAGCGACGACTCAGGCTTCAAATGTGCCGCAGATTGTTCATTTGCAAGCTGACTCAGGCACTAAATGAGTCTACATATGTACGTCAGAAAGCGTCCAAAATGGTGACTCTTTCAGTCTTCGTGTGTGTTTATAAAAACCCACACAGAAATGCAGAAGTGTATGATGTATACAGAGCGATGGGGATACTGCTGTTCTTCTACGAAGGAATCTGAGGTAGTCGCGCACAAGACCATGCCGACGTCGCTTTGTGCGTCGAGGCTCAAACCTCAAGAGAGTCACGTGCGTCTTCTTTGCAAACGTTCTATCCTTCTCTAGACCGAAAATTTGATAGGTTTTCGCACATTTTCAGTCGCATTTCGGCAAAGGGGAGGGGAAGGGGTTTTCACTTCCACTGCTTCAATGGTTCCGATGTACATGCCTTACTCTCGTGAAATCTGTGTACTCTTGTGAAGCTTGGTAGAATATGCCAGCCGAGCAAAGGGCTTCCTGGATGGGTCGACACTCGATGGGAAGCAGAAAAAGTGTAAAACGCTCCTCCCCCACCCCCTCGTCGCTAAAGTGCCCC